AGGTGCCCATATGATGCCTTTATGTTGCGTACAATTCCTTAATGTTGCATGTAAACAATGAGAAGAAATGTGAAACACACACCGTCTTATATTTGTATTGCTTCTTTGCTGGGCTTTCAAAGTCTGTAAGGCTGAATGGGTCTCCTAGCTTTAACTGTTCCCCCCCCCCCCACCCCCACCCCCCCCCCCCCCCCCCCCCCACCGGCAGCCAATTCTATCTGCTTCTTTTGCTTTCTGGGAGTCTTCCTAAGGGATGTCTTCTCCATCACTCCTTCCCAAACTACCAGCTCCCACAATGAAACCCCAAGTCCCCAATATGGCTGAAACGCCCACAATGAATTCAGAGTCCTTTTATTAACAAGAATTAATGACTATATAGATGACTCACGTAAGCAGGTGCGCTAAGAAAGTCTATTCCCTGACAAGACAGTCTCCAAAGTGAGCCAAACAGTGAACTGGAGCAGGGAGTCCAAAACTAGAGGGGGGGAAAATCAGCAAGGAAATGGATACGCTGAAAATGAACTGAGCAGTTTTCCAAGTCAGCCAGTCAAATAAAAGCTACATCAAACAGTATCGGCACCAGGCAAACCTCCACAGGGGAAGGAACTTCAGGGATAGAACACAACGGAGAAACAGTATGTCCAGACGGAGACAAAGGGAGACACCTAATGAAGGGAACAGGAAGGAACCCCAGACCTCTGGAAACCTGCTCTGCGAGCAATCTTTTCGCTGGGGATCTTTTTTCAAAGGGCCACTGTGTCCTGGCCTTCTGCTCCTCTGCTCTCCATCTCAGGCCCTGGAGTCAGCTCCTGGGGGTGGGGGGTAGGGGTGTGGGGGTGAGGGGGCTGACTCCAGGCAGCCAGCCAGGGCCCAGCTGGGACCCTGCTTCTTTCAGCCACTCTTCCTGACTCCTCCGGGAGCATGCTCTCCCTCCTGGAAATTCCTACACTTTAATTTCCTCTTGGAACACTGCTCAAACTCTGCCTAATATGGTATTAAGTACATTATGCTTTCTTCAGAGGCAGATTTCCTCCTCACAGGCAGGAACATGTTTTAATGCTGTGTTTCGTAAGTATCTAAGCACAGTCTGGCACACAGTAGGTGTGCATCCTACACGTGGAGCTGAAGCTAAGTTAGTCTACTGAATTCAGCAGGCCAGCTCTAATTTGGGTGTTCTGAACAGCAAACTGCAAATGCGAGACACACACACTGCACGTGTGAGACACACACACTACAAGTGTGAGACACACAAACTACACGTGTGAGACACACACTACAAGTGTGAGACACACAAACTACATGTGTGAGACATGCACACTACAAGTGTGAGACACACAAACTACACGTGTGAGACACACAAACTACACGTGTGAGACACACAAACTACATGTGTGAGACACACACACTGCACGTGTGAGACACGCACACTACACGTGTGAAACACACAAACTACACGTGTGAGACACACACACTACAAGTGTGAGACGCACACACTACAAGTGTGAGACGCACAAACTACATGTGTGAGACACACACTACAAGTGTGAGACACACAAAACTACACGTATGAGACACGCACACTAAACATGTGAGACTCACAAACTGCAAGTGTGAGAGACACACACTAAACATGAGACACACACACTACACATGTGAGACACACACTACACGTGTGCGACACACACACTACACGTGTGAGATACACACACTACACATATGAGACACACACTACACGTGTGAGACACACATACTACACATGTGAGACACACAGTACACGTGTGAGACACACACTACACGTGTGAGACACACACCAGTTCCTCCCTCTTCCACACGTGTCTTTGTATCACCTGTGTATTGTCACTCAGATTTCAGTACTCCCTCCCTTCCTACAAGCTCCTGTGCATTCTATTTTTTTCCATATGTTGCTGATTGGCATCTATAAGGTGCAGTACTAAAAAACTGCTATGACATTGATTTGAAATCGAGCCATAAAGCATTAGCAACACGCCTACTTCTCTTTGGCACCACGTGTGATCCTGCAAATGAAAGCTGCCGTCAGCCAGGAGCTCACAATGGTGAATCCACCAGCCAGGAGCTCACAATGGTGAATCCACCAGCCAGGAGCTCACAATGGTGAAACCACCAGCCAGGAGCTCACAATGGTGAATCCATCAGCCAGGAGCTCACAATGGTGAAACCACCAGCCAGGAGCTCACAATGGTGAATCCACCAGCCAGGAGCTCACAATGGTGAAACCCTGCCTGTGTTGCGCATGCAGAGAGGCAGTGAGCAGAACAGAGCAATGGCCTCCATGAGTTTACCCCATGGGTCAGAAACAGATGCTCCATCACCGGTCTCTTCTTTTTTAACAACTGGCTGTACAATTCAATGATACAAATATTCATTGAGCCTCTTCAAAGTACCAAGCATAATGCCAACTGCAAGACACACAACAGAACTCACAATATAGAAGAGACCCAATTTACACAGGGAATTGAAAAATACAAGGATAACTAATAATCTAAACAAATAAATAGTATTATTATGCTTACAGTTAATTTCTGTCCCCTAAACAATTAAAATCTGGGGCATGTTCTCTGGGCCTGGCTGATGTATAAGAAACAAACTAGTAAAAATCAAATGACCCACTAATGAGCTAATTTCTTACTACATTTTATAGGCCGGTAAACTGAGAGGCCAGAAAGATGGCTTATTGGGTAATGGCAGTTTCAGCTAAGCCTGATGAACCAAATCCATGGTGGAAAGAGAGAACTAATTCCTGCAAAGATTCCTCAGACCTCCACAGGAGGTGCACACTCATGCCCCCCCATAAATAAATTAAGTCCTAAAATTCCTCTGCAGTCTAAGTACCTTGTCCTCTTGCAGAACTACAGCTGCAATAGAGCCAAGAACTTCCTTGCTATCAGTGAGACCCCGAGAGAAAATAAAATCTACCAAACTTAATCCTCAAGAGAAACTATGAAGAGCCGTCCTCACTCTTGTTTTGCACACGGGGAAGCTGGGCTGGGAAAGTTAAATGGCCCTCCCAGAGCCAGCCAGTGGCAATGTAGAATTTGGAACAGGTGTGAATAGCTTCCACTAGGGATGGCATATGTACAATGTTTTCATAATCAGTTTTGTACTGCACATTTCTAATCCTTCCCTCCTGGTAAATTCTTAGAGAGCAATGAGCATTTTTTTCTTTATATTTCTTCAGGGCCTTGAATATGAACACAAAAGCCCACTGGGCAAATGAATGAAGAGTGTATAGCATAGTAATATTAGGTAAAAGAACCCAGACACAAAGAATTCACTTCACAGTGCCAGTGTTGGCATCCAAGAGGACCTCCAGGGACTGCACCTCCTGAAGGGCACCACCTTCTTGTGCAAATCCCTATCTCAATGAGTCAGAGCTATCCTGTGTGGGCAGTGGAGCCTCTTACCTGGCTGTGTCAGGAAAGGAACAGGAGATCTCTCACTTGTAGGAGAGCATTCCCATTGGGAGACCCATTGCCAGTTTACCACCAATAGCTTATCGGCTATTCTAGAGAGCTGCTTTTAGGGTAGAGTGTCTAACCCTGGGAATGTCTTGGCCAACATCTGATTCCTATCTCATGGTGAATCATGAACCAAAACCACACAACTATCACTTTGGAGAACTTAAGTACAAACCTCATAAGACATTAATTTCGGGGGGGGGATATTTGTTACACAGTATAAATAGCTAATGCAAAAGAGACTGAAGATTATCTCCACAAATGAAGAAGGGCTAGAGATAGAGGTTTCAAAGGAATTATAAGACACATATAGACAAAGCAATGGTAAGAATACAAGGAACCTTGCATAAAGGCAAGAACATCCCCACAAAGAATCTCAGAGTTAGGAGAAATCTTAACAGTCATTTTGTCCAGCCACTCACCAAAGGTCCGTTTTAAAAAATAATGAAATTAATGCAGGGCTTACATGAATTTAACCTGAAACCCAGACAACTGACCTCCTTGAGCTGTCCTGCACTCAGTGAGGAATGAGGATAACATCCCCATCATTTGTGCTTACTTCCCACGGTTTCAGTTACCCATGGTCAATCAGTCTGACGATATTACACGGAAAACTAGAGAAATAAGTCGATTCATGTGTTTCACATAACTTCTGCTGTACTATGTTGCTATGGCAACACACCATCTGTGATGAGGCTAAGGGTAGAAAACGGTACTAGTCACAACAGAGAGCATATTCTACATCTCATTTGAGGGCATTTCTGAAACGAACCGAACAAATCACAGGAGCAGGCAGGCACTACGAGCAGAATATGATTTGCTGAGATGCTACTCAGCAGAGATGCTATTCAGCAGAGGTTGCTCATTTTACCTGCAGAATGCCATTATGTCCTCAAATTAGCCCAGTTCCCTTTTCCTTTCTCTCTGGGAGGTGTTACACCTCATCCTGCCGGTGTAAGGCAGAATGAACATGTGTATGTACACATGTGTTGTGTACATGTGTGTGTGGATGCATGCACATGAGGAGAACTGGAAAGGTAGAAAACGCAGCAAACAAAGGCCTGTAGAATAACGATCAAGACACCTTAGCATCTCCGCGTTAGAAAAGCCAGTCCTTCAACAATGCCAAGAAGCAGTGCTGGTGACAGGAACAGGCACTAAAGGGTTACCAACAAGAGAATCCAAAACATTCGCCAAGATCCCACACATGTAGGCTCTTGCTGGAAAATGGCTAAGAGGGTGCCCCCAGAGGTTTCTCTAGATAGGAATTACCATAGCAATTCTTTGTCAAGAAAATGACACAATCCCTTAAAACAGCAGGCTTCCCGCTGTGAAGCCAGCATGATTGCACATGGCTGCTCTGCTGCCCAGGGCCCCGGTCAAAGAGAACAAGATGATTCCAGTGACAGCAAGTTCCCTGAGCTGCAGCCTAGCGCAGAAAAGTACATGCTGTCCCTCTTGGCATTTACAGCCTCAGCACCAGGCAGAGGGTGAGCGGCTGACGTGGATGCTAACGATGACAGCCCACACCTGTCTCCACAATGAGGTGCAGTCAAAGGGTTTAAGGCCCCCAGGGTTCTGTTGCTCTGTTTTTACCGTCATTGAAGCCATCGTTGGTAGCCACATGGGTGAATGGTGACTGAGCCCGGGGCTCCTCGCTTCAGGGAGTAGCTGTGTTCAGCCTGGATGAGAGGCGCTGGTGAGGTTGGAGATGGCTCTACCTCCATGGACACGCTCTTCTCTGAGAGGAAAGGGTCATTCAGGAGCTGACCCAGGACGTTCTGGGAAAACTCATCCAGCAGTTCCGAGAAGTGCTGCAAGAAAGCAGAGGAGGAAGAATTCAGGGTTGCTCGCTCTTGATCTGACACTCAACACACACACCTCAAGGAGAAGAGATGGACGGACCGGCGTGCAGCCACTTGCAAATTCCATTCGTCTATATCTGTCCGTCAAAGCATGGCGGTGGGCAGGGGCTGCAGAGGAGGCTCAGCTGGTGAAGTGCTCTCTGCACAAGCATGAGGACCTGCGTTTGGTCCCCAGGGCACACATGAAAATACAAGCACAGTGGCACATGTCTGCAATGCCAGTGCCAGGGAATCAGGTGGGCTCCTAGGGCTTGCTGGCCAGTCAGACCTAATTAAGGAGCCCCAGGTCCCTGCAAGAAACATTGCTCCAAAGACACGTGGATAGTCCCTGAGGGCACTAGGGTTGACCTCTAGCCTGTGAGTGCATGCACACACACACACACACACACACACACACACACACACTCGATACTTAGCGGCTTAAACTAATCATAACTTATTATCCCTTGTCACTTTGTGGGTTTTCTGAGTGAGGTACTGAGTTCATTGAGGTCCCATGATTTAGCCACACTGCACGCTTGGCTAGGGTCTAGGCTCAGGCAGCTAGATGCCTGGGTCCTCACTCAAGGCAGCTGGGTGGGGTTCCCTGACAGAATGGTAGAAATCTTCCAGGAAGAACAAAATGATAGATGAATGACCTCAGAATCATACACCATTGTCTCACAAAGTCCCTGTCTCCATGGACACTCCAATCAAGGCTCATGGGGTGGCACAATACAACTCTACTTCCTGGGAGAGAAAAAAAAAGTATATATATATATATATATATATATATATATATATATATATATCAAAATCCACTTGCAGATGAGTGTGATTCCCTGAGAGCCACTGTCGGAATGCTCAGCCACAGTCTGCACTAGCAACATCTTTAAATAGGGTACCCTCTATTTCTACAGAGTGAGGAGTTGGCTACAGCAAGGAGCCCGACTCAAAAGCAACAGAGGCAGCGCTATAGTCCTGGTCTAGAATATTCCCCCCAAAGTCTATGTCTTAGCTTTGGTCCTCACCCATGTTGCCACTGAGAGGTAAAAGAACCATTCTGGGGTGGAGCCTATCGGGGGTCTTCGGGTCACACAGGACCCTGCGTTCTTTTCTCTTTTTCACTTTTCAGCCACGGGATGAACAGCCCTGTTCTGCCATATACCCGCACATCAAGGTGTGCTGGCTTGCCCGGAACAGCAGCGTCAGCATGAACCGATTATGCAACGTGAGCAGTTACACGCAGGACCCTCCACAACATAAGCCAAGGGGAAGGTTAATCATATCAGGCGTGCGCTACAGTCACTTTCCACCCTCCATCTCTAACTCAGCTGACTTCTCAGTCCCTGCCAAGCCATGGGCACTCTACTCTATAGGAGTAGTCTGTATGTAGTACCTGGGGCCGCTATCTTCCCCTCTCACCCTCCCACATTGAAGGGGATGAAGCCCCATTAACCCTCCCCACCAGAGGGCTGCACCGGTCCAGTGAGCATCTGCGGAGTTATGCTCAGCACTGCACGGCTGGCATGCTGGACTAGATAATTCTTTCGGTTCTGGTGTAGAGGTGGCGGCAGGAGTGCGTGTGTGTGTGTGTGTGTGTGTGTGTGTGTGTGTGTGTGTGTGTGGTGGGGGTTGGTCTGTATATACCCCCTCGATGTCGGGAACACCCCCTCTTTGGTGTGAAACCAAAGTGTCTCCGTGCTGAAGCCACCCTCAGCACCTGTAATTCCACGCTGGCTTCTACTGTGAACAGGAAGCTGGCCCCACTTCCACTCACGGCTCTGCTGCCTGACCCGCCTGTGTCCTGGAACACTGGCATTGTCCCTAGCGGTGTAGATGCGGCGTCCAAGATGAGAAGAAGAGCCACAGACGTTGCAGCTAAAGTCAAACTTTAGGAAGACCCAGCACATGAAATAAATAAGAAGACAAAAAGACCCAGGCCTCCCTAAGGCATGGCCACTTAGGACAGGGCGTCTTAAACTTCTCCATACACAGAAATTATTCGGGGAGACTGAAGAGGGAGACTCTGAATCACATGTATGCATGGGGCCCACGAGCCTTCCTTTGCGACCAGCTGAATCCAGGGAGGAGCAGGGCAGCTGTGAGGCTAAGATCTGAACCAGATTTCCTGTTATACAGTAAGCTAAGGTCAGTGTATGGTCCCCCTAAGCAGGCCACGCTCCCGGCCTGATGGACGGATTGATGGACGGTGAGTATTATGAGGTGTTTGATGGCGTTACCTTTGAGAACAAAATCACAGTGACAGAAAGGGAGGTTAAATAATGCAAAACCGTAAGATTCAAAAGCACTGATCACAGCCTGCCCGCACCCAAACCACAACTCTGTCCCGAGCCACAAGGTCAACGCTGGCTGGATAGGCCAGCCCCACTAAGCCTCTGGAATCCCGGCCCATCCAGAGGCAAGGCGAAGTTGCCTGGGCTGGCCTGCTCTGCTGACACCCTGTTTCTTTCTCTGGAGCAGCACTAATGAATGTTTTCATGAACATCCTCTTGATAACCAATAATAAACTCCGGGCTCTGTTCACCCTCCTCAGGCTCCCCCTACTTTGGACGATAAAGTAATTATCATGTTATGAGACAATTTAGCCCTAATAACAGGTGGCCCTGAGAATCCACATCATAACCTCCCCCTCTGCAGAAAAGGAGCTCCCCAGAAGCAAAGACCAACAGCACCTAGCCACCCACCATGGACTTAACAAAGGTAACTGCTGAGTGGGTTCAGGGACTAAAGAGATGGCACCAATCAGTTCTAACGGATGCCATGACTCAGCCCGGCAAAGGGGAGCTAGCCAGGTCTACTCGGCAGCTTTGGTCTTGGGGACTCAGCAGACGGGTCAACCTCTCTTTCCAACTCTATGGCTGTGGGTCTACCGTGTAGCTGGCTGAGCTCCATGCCAGCTTAAATCAAACAGCACGGCTTTTCCCCCTTCTCCAGATGTGCCCATAACCCAAGAGCTATAGTAGTGGAGACAGAAGGATGGCTGAGCTTGCTGGCCACCAGTCTAGCTCCGGGTTCCATGGCAGACCCTGTCTCAAGGGAATAAGGCAGAGAATGGTAAAGCAGGACCCCCAGTGACCTCTTCTGATCTCAATACATGGCAGGTGTGTACACGCTCACATGCACGCACATACACCACACACACACACACACACCCCAAAGGTGACCTAATGCTAATAACTGCTCCAAGATCTGAAGTCATGGGGGTCAGGAAAAAGGAATGAGATGGAAAGAAAATGAAAGGATTATAATGAGTTCAAATAACTGGTACATTGACTTCCTATGGTCTTCCTCAAACACTCACCCCTGAGGCTACTCATCCAATGTGGCTTATATACAGCTCTCTAGACAAAGCACTGGGCCAAGTGAGGGGGCTAGGCAGGAAGAGAGAAAATAACTAGTCTCGTGTACAGACGGATCTGAAGCACATCCTGTGGTCATGGTCCTGGGTGCGCTCAGCCTAACAAGAAGAGAGCAGACTGGGACTGTGTAGCTGTCAACCCACTGCTTCGAAATCAGGTGTGTGTGTGTGTGTGTGTGTGTGTGTGTGTGTGTGTGTGTGTGTTGGAGAAGTGGAGTGGGGATGCATTGAGGAATAATGAAATAAATGCTGGATGTGGTCAGTATCTGTCCACCTCGATGAGTAGGGTGTTCTATGTTAAGGGATGGTGGAACATATAGATGTTGGACTCAAGGCCCAACTGTGCAAACTCATACAGGATGTGCTGGACCAGCCTGCCTGAGACACACCCACAGCCACAGACACACAAACCCCACTTACCCAGGCTTGCCCACCCCTGAAGTCTATCCCAGCTAGAAGAGGGGTATTCCATGAACTGAGCCTAAGAACTGCCAACAAAGATAATAGTAATCACTCACAAACACTGGCAGGCCATGGTTAGTAACCTATTCAGCTAGGGTACTCTATAATTTTCTAAAATGTTGAGGCAACCTAAAATGAGGATATGCATGCTTTCCTACCTTCTTCTATTGTGGGTTTGCTTTATCGCTACTTTTGTTGTTATAGTAGTAGTTGGTTGGTGTGTTTTGGGTCCCCCCACCCATGACCTCTACCCTGGGGTTCAGGTGGAAGAACCCCAGGGCCAGCCATCCAAAGCCCCCAATCTGTGCTTGCTAAGAGTCCTGTTCTCCATGTCTGTGGTCACTGTGGGCCTCTGCCTGAAAGATTGCACTTGGACAGAGAAAAGGGAGGCTTTATACTTCAAAACGCTCAAGGCTTACACACATAGCACACTTCCAGAGCCACAAAGTGGGGAATGCGGTGGGACAAGCTAACAAAAACATTTAGAGGACGCGCCTCAAGCTGACTAGACACAGAGCTCGGCCTCCCTCCAGCAGAACAGTACTGAGGTGGGCTAGAAGGTCTCCATGGGCTCTGGAGGCCATCAAGCTATTCTCCCTGTCCCCTCCCCACAGAGGCCTTAGATCTAAGCGGTTCTGACTCAGGACTCTGTACACACACACAGCCAGAAGGAAGAAGGCAACACAGTCAACGTCACAAGCCAAAAAAGAAATAAAAAAAAAAAAAAAAAAAAAAAAAGGGGAGGTGCTGATGAGTCAAATCCCATTACAAGCAAATTCCAAGTGTGCCCAATTTGTTTCTGGCACTAAACTTTAGGTAATTACAGATGTCTCTAAATTAAAAAAATAAAAGAGGGCCAAGCCTTGCAGCTCCTTTCATTGTTAAAGGTGTGACCGTGTTTTGAGAGGATTGGT